TGTGTGTGTGTGTGTGTGTGTGTGTGTTTGTGTGTATGCTTTGTGAAAGCAATATCTACTCTGTATATGTAATGTGACAAATACTAAGTTTATCCTGGTAGAAAATACCATTATCTCTGTACTGAATGGGTTCTTTCCATCACTGCTGCTATACTCCCAGCCTGATTTTTTGCTTGTCTGCAATTGTAGTTGGGCATTTTTCATTGCTTATCTTTAAAAACTATTTTAAATAAAAAATAAATCGGCCTTCCTCAAAAGGTGTTGGGGCAGTGAGTTAAGATTCGTGTTTGTGTGTGCGCGTGTGTGTGTGTGTACACATGTAGGCATAGAACTAAAGTGATAAAATACAATCTTATTGATTGATTGATTGATTGTATTTATATGGCAAGCATATTTATATAGCATAGCGTATTTTTGGTATTTATATTGTATTTATATAACAAACCGTAAAAGGCAGCAAAAATATAATGCAGCAGACTGATCAGGTTGGTGCATTTGTGTGTGCATAGGCACATGTGCATATGATTGATCAGCAGGCAAAACAAAATAATATATGAGTTTTACCACTATCCCTTTTCAGACTTTTCAGAACCATTAATAGTGTGAAGCGCGTTTTGTGTCAGAAGCTGCCGTACCTCTCTTCAGAACAGATGCGTTCTTTTCCTGTGCTTAATGTAGTGAATGGATGATTTAGGAGAATTCTACCTTTTGCCTGCCTGATAGATGCTAAACGAGCATTGCAAATCATTTAGAATAACCCTTTTTGCTTTACAAGCTGAAGTTCTGTCACTTCCAATAAATTTATGTGAGCTACAATTCACAGCATGTTGATTTTATGTTAAGATATATTGCCTGGCTTTTTTAGACTGGCTGAGTACTTGTGAGCTTCCTGTAGTCTTTTCTTATCTTTTGATAACCTCTTGAAAAGTCAAAAGAGACTTGACCCAAAAAATCAATTCTGAATTTTTGGTGGTGATCCAAAATGGCTGATCCCTATTTCTGAAATGCCTTCCCAAACAGAATGGCATTTGTCAGGTTTTCTCTTCTCATAGAATGCCTATACAGAGGTTCCTCCAAGGTTTGGGGATTATTTTCCCAAAGGAGGAGAGTGTAGGAGCAATATGAGAGTAGGTAGGAAATTTGCTTATACCCCTGTACGTTTTTCTCTCCATGGTTAAAATGACCTTTTTAGCGATAGATCAGGACTATAATGCAAAGCCATTATAACCACCATGGATAGTTTTGATAACAGAAAAAGGTTCCAGCAATACTCTGATGCTTAATCCCAAATTAGAGTATCATAATTGGAGTTTTTAACATTTTTAGATGATTGAGTATTTGGGATTTTACTAGTGGGTTTCTTTAGTAATTTTATGAAGAACTTATTGTAAATTGCCTAGAATTTTAAATAGGTAAAGTTGAAATGCAAACATTTTTAACAAGTTTTTTAAGATTGGGATATTGCAAAAACCATGGTGTATGCTAAGGATACCATTTAGTAAGATGTTGTTTTGGAAATAGAACTAGTGCAGGAACAACTGCATCAAAAATGGATATACTTCTAAACATAGGCGTCCTGCTTAAATTGGTAAATAGTATTCTTAAAAAGTGTATGGAAGTTACAATTAATCCGAAGTGGGACAGGCTCCTAACTGGGGCAAGGTACCGTGACCTTATATCCTTTTATTATAAAGGACAGTCCTTTAGTTCAGAAAGCTGTCCTTTAGATTTATTTATTTTTCAAAAACTCACTTTTATCCTTCATTCTGGTCATTTAACTTTTACCATATAAATGGTACCATTTAATGCCCAGTCTTTCACATTCATGTGAAAAATATGATAGTGAACACGCTCCTGTGGAATTGCATTCGTGCCTCACTTCCTCAGTGTTAGAAAGACTACACCCCCAGACTTTTAAGTCTTAAATGATTTGGGTCCTATTTTAGTATTAATTTTAATCTGTATTTTAACGTTTTGGTATTTCGTTTGTGTTTTAATTTTTGTTTCAGCAACTCTGAGTATTTGTTAGAGTAGAAAGGTGGGCTGTAAACTAAATAAATATATAAGCAATTGTGTTCTGCTAAATTTTGATTTTGTTTTTCTGAATTCTTGATTTTTCGCAGTATCGGCAACACACAAAGAAACAAAGCAGTTCTTTACCCTCTACAACACACTTGATGATAAAAAGGTGTATTTGGAAAAAGAGGTAAGCCAAATTTGCAGTAATTTGGGGAAACACAAAGTATATTTTTGAGCTTGATAATATCATGAAATACTCATCTAAGGCTGCAAATCCCATATCTGTTTATTTAGAACTTAGATCAACTGCACTGAGTTGATACTTGTTTATTAACAAATTATATTCGGCTGCACTTGGAATTTATCAAAAAAAACCTTGCTTAAAAATACTGTTAATGTTATGGATATAAAGAAAGGTTCAGCACAGTTACATCTCAGGAGATAACTCTGAGCAGATTTCCTAACTATGGACGTCCAGGTAAGCCAGGCGTGGGGGCAAAAAGCCAAGATGGCGGGCGTGAACACATACTAGAAGCCCTTGTGCATGTTCAAAGGAGCAGGGCTCTGATCACATGACCATACCTGCCACCTTGGCTTTTTGCTTTTCCCTGCCCTTGTGGATACCTAACAGGCTTGAGGTTGAGGGGATTATGTCAGTTCTGTTCTGTGTTCAGACTTCTGGCAAAGCCTGAACCCCCACTATAAACTGACATGGTTTTTAAACATAAGGTAAGACCAACATCTCTAACCTAACCTCAATTCAAAACCATCCACATCAAAATTTCTGTTGACTGTTCATCACTCCACAGCATTACACATGTCCACTCTGCAGCAGTAGTGCCAAGAGGCTACACAATTATAAGAGATTTTCTGTAGTTTGAATGTTTCTGCTTTGCAGACAGGCCCTGTAGTTTCCAGCAACTGTTGCAGTGACCTGAGATCACTTGCCCAATCCTGCGTTGTGCACCCCGGCACACAGCATAAAGGTCTAACCTTGTGTTGACGTTTAAAACAGCTAAATGGTACTTAGCAAAGAAACAGAATCAACTGTACACATGTTCTGTTTTCAAAATGTGCTTATGCTCATTATATAAGGCTTGCTGAGAGAAATTATAACTGCAGAGTGGACACACTTTATTTTGATGCAACAGAATTAATTGTTTTATGAAAGATTTAGTGGTACCTGAAGAAGGAGGATCTTTCTCATAGCAGGCATTCTGAATCACTGATGTCCATAAGCTGGTACTGGGAGGGATAAGAGGATCAGTCTAGATCATGCAGTATCACTATATAATTTCTAGTGCTGGTTGAGAGTTCTGCCTAAGTCCCTTTCCTCATAGATACAATTTAATTTTCTTACTTCAGTCTTGGGAGGAAACAGATGGAATATTGCCAAACATAATTTGTTCTACTAAGAACTTATTCAAGTCAGTCTGCTTCAGCCTGTTCCACTAACCTATTAGGAGCCTAATCCTCTTTCTGTGCAATTCTGTTCTGAGGATGCGACTGAGAAGCAAGGCTCAGGGAGTCTAGTGTTTTCTGATTCTAAGATTACTAATGATAAGACTGCGGCCTTATTAGCTGAATTCATTCTATTTCTTCTTAGCTTGTTCCTCTCTGGCTATATAGCTATTTATAATCCCATATCTATGAACCTTTTAACTTGCTTTTTGAATTTCTTCCAGGTTATTTGGGGAAATGAGTGAGAAACTGCATGTAGTGTTCCATAGTTATGTTTATCTAAATATTGGTGCTAGATTGCACAGCAGTATATATTTATTTTTGTAAATACAATAAATATTTGGATATTTTGGATGGTGGTAATCAAAATTTCCTGCCAGCACACCTTTGATGTGTCGTGCTGAGAATGTGATAGCATATAGTATTTGCATTTAATATACCAAGGTAACACAAACCTGGTTCATAGATAAATATTCTTACCATAATGATTGCAAGTATGCATGAATAATCTATCAACCATCACATCTCTTTTTTTGCAATCCAGGATAGCCTCAAACATAAGATCAGTTCACACGTTCACATGCCAGTAATTATTAGTACTCCATTGTATAATATACAGTATAAATATTTTTTTAACAAGTTTGTTGCTTGAATGACTTTACAAAACTTTTTACATGGGAAATTTTGTATTTTGGCTTTTCCAGGTTAATTTGCTTAATTCCGTTCATGATAACTTCCAGCAGTAAGTAGACTAACCATATTTTTTTCCTCTAGGCTAAGCATAGTTTCATCAGTTCTTATGATCAGTTTCAATTTAAGAAACAGTGTTAAAGTCTTTACATATACAAGTCAGCATCTCATACTATGAATTATAAAACTCTATCCAATACTTACTGTTGTCCATGCAAAATTTATCCTAGTTACTTTTCTCTGAATTTTTAAAGTCATATGCTGTTTGTTGTTTTCCAGGGAAAACAGAAAATGGTCCTTTAAATATTTGTGTGTGTGTGTGTTTATTCTTGACTCCTGGCAACTGCCTGGACAAGTCCCCACAGTTTTCTTGGCAAGATTTTTGGAATTGATTTGCCCTTGCCTTCTTCCTAGAGCTGAGAGAGAATGCCTGGCCCAAGGTCACCCAGCTGACTTTGTGCCTAAGGCAGGATTAGAATTCACAATCTCCCAGTTTCTAGCCTGGTACTTTAATCACTACACCAAATTGGTTCTCATGTATTTGCTGTGCTTTAGCAATATTCTTCTGAATCTAAGTTATTTCCTTCAGGCACATAAGTAAAATTGCCTGTCCTCATGAAGCATGGCTGGAATTAATAATGATGTCAGGTTTGTACATCATCCAAGAAACCATGAAAGATTGGTTTGCAACCACATCACTTAAAGAAAGGAGTCCCTAGGCATGCATGCAGCTAAACCATAATTGGCAGTGGTTGTGTTTGCAAAGGCACGCAGACTTCGGTTGCAAACAGGAGGATTTCATGGGGTTCCTGAGTGTTTGCCTGCCAGGTTGTCTTGTTTTAGTAAGAGCTCTTTGTGCTCATTGAACATGATTTGGAGCATTCATTAAACGGGGGGTCTGAAACTTAAATTGTCATGAGTGCCACATGAGAACTTCTTCCATTAGCTGGAGGGCTGCCACACTGAAGCTTTGTCATGTTTCTGAACTGATACAAAGGATTTTGATGAGTCAGAAATGAAGAAAATGAAAAGTATCACAGCATGCTGTTAATCATATAATTATTCCATTAAAAAAAAAAAAAACTTTTCTGTGAAACAGAAACTTGCCATCTGGGTGACCTTAGGCCAGTCTCTCTCTCTCAGCCCTAGGAAGGAGGCAATGGCAAACCGCTTCCGAAAATGTTGCAAAGAAAACTGCAGGGATTTGTCCAGGCAGTCACCAAGAGTCAACACTGACCTGAAGGCCAAAAAAAAAAAAAAATCTTGTAGGAAACCTATCCTCCATAGAACTGCCCAAGCCCTGCTTTTTCTTTTTCTGGTCTCTCCTTGCTGACTGGAGTGATAGCTTTGTTCCTTGGACTTTTCTCCTTTCTGTTTCCCTTCTGTTCCCTCTCCTTGCCAGGCAGAGGAATCTTGCTGGCTTTTGGTCTTTTCCACTCCTTGCATTGCACAGGGAGCAGCATGAGGGGCAGTTGAACTGGGCCCTTCTCCTCCACCACCTTCTCCTTGTGGCAGCCCCAGCTTCCTGTCTGTCCTCCCTGACCAAGTCTCACTTCCCCATTGCCCCTGCCTGGAGAGTCTGGCACTGCCTGCCATAGAGCCTGAGAATGGGAGTTCCTGGAGGGCAGGGCTACTGGCATGAGCGGCTTTGAGGTTATCACTGCAAGACCACTTAACAAGACATTCTTGGGCTGGGAAATCCATTGGGTGGGGCTGAAGCAAGTTGTGAAGACCAGTCCGCTCCTTTTCCTGTGGCACATCCTGTACATCTACATGGTGTTCAGTGCTTTTGCTTACTGGGCAGTGTCCTCAGTGCCAACAAAATGTTCTGGAGGGCTGCAGAAAATGATTTGGAGGGCTACATATGGCCATGGACTGTAGGTTTGACTTTCAGTACTGCTTTTCATAGATGCAGAATACTATTTCCAAGTAATGTTTTAATGGAACAAAACCTACATCTTGCCTTTCATTCTGAATATTGATTTATTATCAGCCAAGAATTCTTAACGTACTGTCTCCACTTACTATACAAACAAGATCCAGTTTGGTGTAGTGGTTCAGGCACCAGGCCAGAAAGCAGGAGACGGGGAGTTCTAGTCCCTCCTTAGGCACGAAGCCAGCAGGGTGACCTTGGGCCAGTCTCTCTCTCTCAGCTCCACAAAAAAGGCAATGGCAACCACTTCCAAAAATCCTTCTCAAGAAAACTGCAGGAACTTGTGCAGGCAGTTGCCAGGAGTCAAAACTGACTCAAAGGCACAAAAATAAAATAAGACGATAAAAAGAGTAGAATATGAATATATGTATGTATGTGTGTGTTATCCTTCTTTAACTGTACATTGCTGTAGAAAAATAAGCTGGCCAAATATCTCTTTTTTCACTTTCCAGTCTCAGCCTTCTATGTTTTGGGGTCTGTCCACCATCTAAAAGCATTTTCTTTCCTTTTCAGAGCCATGGCTTCTTCTAGTGCTCGAGACCAGTTTCTGCGACAAATGGAACAGATTGTAGAAGGAATTAAACAGAACCGAATGAAGGTTAAATAATCTTTTGCAGATACTTGATCTGAGTGTGTGTTTTCTTTTTCAAACATCAGTAGAATTGTTTGCTGGTATCCTTTTATTTCCTCTAAACATGAGCATACTCCAGTGTGCTACAGAGAATTGAACTACAGCCAACATTTTCAGAGAAGCAAATTTCAGCTGAAGGGTTACGAGCTGTTCAGCAGCAGAAAATATTGCTTTGTTTGGGGTAGCTGAGGCTAGATAGGGCCTGTCAAAATCCCTACCCCTGAGTAAGAACATCTTACCTTGACAAAGGAATTGAACCAGTTTTTTTTCCAGGTCCCTTCCATGATTCTAAGTTTCTTGCAATTAAACAGAAGCAGATTCTTAGGGTAAATACACAATTCCTTCTGAGGTCTGTTTTGCAGGCCCCTGAAAAGAAGTACTTTGTAGAGTGCTTTATCTCTTCCATTGTACCCTGATCTCACTCACTGTCTTTCTACACATAGAAGGCTACACAGTGCTAGAAAGCTTGATGTTTTACTTAGTTATATCTAGACAAGTTACAACTTGTCTCAAAGAATTGCGAGCATCACTCTTATTTGGAATACTGGCAGTTCCTTCACCTTTATCCAAACACAAACTTTTCTGGCGCAAAGTTTAAAAAATGTTTTTGAACGAATAGCTGAAATGGAACATAAAGTGTATTATTGTTGTTGTTGTTGTTGTTATGGCTGGTCACACAGTCAGCCAGATGTGTAGACTGGATTTGGCATTTTTATCCACCTGTTAGTCCTTCCCAAGGGCCTGGGATAGGCAGATGCTGTTGTTTGATGGTGGTACTGTTGCAGGATATAAGCTGTTCCAAGTAAAACTGCCTTTTATCATCATCATCATCATCATCATCATCATCATCATCATCATCATCATCCAGGGCAGAGATGATTGATATTAAGATATATTCCTCTTTTTCTAGACACCCTCGCATTGACAGTACTCTCTTATCTGGTTCCTGGACAGACATTTTAGTAGTACCGAATATGTGAACATGATACGTGAATGTGATCAATGAAGTAGTGATGAGTTTTCATACTGAATGGCCATGGCCTAGTTTTCTTTTGTTCTAATGTTCTGCCAGAAGCTGTGCCTGACATTTTCAGAGGCCAAGTAAGCTGCTTTGTGGTGCACCTCTTGGCAGCTCACAGACATCTGAAATGGGCTGACTGGGCTTTTGTATTTGAACCTGGCAAATTGATCTCTGGTCCATGTTATGGGAGTTCAGGAAAGCCGGATCCTGACTGGTTCCTCATCCACTTGGTCCATTTTGAAGAAATTCCAAGAGTACCAGGGCCTCATTGATCTGTCTTTGAGCCAGACTTCTGATTGGTTCTTTGTGTAGGTGGACTTTTTATTGGTTCATTTTGGAGAATTCCAAGAGAGATGGTTCCTAATGGGACTGTTTTTGAGCCAGGATACTGCTAGGTGTTCTTTCTGGTGAGGCTGCTGTAGATTCTTTTGGATTAGATACGGACTGTTTAATATACTGCCTACCCTGTATATTACCCCTTGCTGTAGATTAACAAACCGGATGATCTTGTATAACATTTATTTTTACTTAATCAGTTGTGACTGCCATAGTTCAAAGCAACCAGTGCATGAACCAAGCACAATCTGCTCTGCTCTGCTCTGCTCTGCTCTGCTCTGCTCTGCTCTGCTCTGCTCTGTTATGGCTAAACTACACTTGATCTAGTGTGGGCTCAGGTAGGGCAGAAACTCCCTGTGAGAGAAGAATGAAAGCTCCTTTGATCTAGATTTTCATATGAACACTGACCGTGAAAGTGGAGCCTCAGAGTCTTTCTGACTTCTGTTTTTTAAGCAGAAAGAGTAAGGAAAGTTACAATAGAGGTAACAGAGTTGCAGCATTGAAGAGTTTATAGAACTTTGTTATATAATCCTTCAGGGTATGCCTGTTTTCCCCATTTCCCTGTTTAAGATTTGCAGGTGAAAGGCGCTGTGGAACAAGTTTTGGTTTTTGCTTTGGTAGAAAAATATCCCTGAAAGTTTTATTTTGGGTTTTCACTTATTGCTTGCTGTGATGTAGTTGCTGCGTATTGAATAGCGTTGCGTAGTGCCATCCCTCTCTTTTCTTTTCCTTACCAACAGTTGGAGAGAAAAAAACAAGAAAACAAAATGAGAAGGGACCAGTTAAATGATGAATACTTGGAATTACTAGAGAAGCAGAGGCTTTACTTCAAAACAGTCAAAGAATTTAAAGAGGTAAAAGAGGGTGGTGGTTATGGAACTGGTAGAATTTATATTTTCTTTACTGGAGTTCTGAACAGCTTACCACTCCAGATACTGTAACAAGGTTTAGAAAGGAAAAACAACTAGCAAAATGTGACAGCTGTATACATAACAGACAATGCACAACCAAAACTTTTGTTCAGAGGGAACAAAGATTCAAATCATCCCCCTTAAACCAGGTTTTAATGGCCTTCCAAGAAAGGTTAGGGTAATATAGTATGGGTATGCTATATGTAGTGACAGAAACTATTTTTGATGTTGGTGTATATATGATACATGCTGGCTTGATAACATACTTTAAAATTGGATTGCTTTTCAGCAGGATTTTTGATATTACCATGTATTTTTTTAAACACCTAATATCAAATAAATCAGGCTATGAAATTAATGGAATTTAATATTGGTAGCTGAAAGCTGAAAGCAGTGTGTGGGATTGTTGGGTTTATACATTATGATAAGCCATAATTTTGATTTTTGGGTGGTTTTGTTGCTTATCATATGGTCTAAACCCAAACTATTCTGGCTTATAGATCGTACTTCATAGTTTAGTGTGTTGTTGACTTCTTTCATTTTGGCTTCTTGAGAAGAACATGAAGAGAAGTGGGTAACTTTGCAGGTCTCGGGGGCATATTTGGGACACACACACACATAAACTGGGGTAGAGGCCATAATGATGTCACAGGAAAGGATAAGGCCAGAATTTTTTGGCCCATTTTTTCATGTTTTTCATGTTTAGGAAATGGGAGCAGGAGACCTCTAGGAAGCAAATGGTTTCATTCCCACCCCCTGAAAAGTGAAAAAATGCAAGCAAATGGGATGGGGGGGCTGCATGCAGTTAATGGGTTGCCTATACCTTTTTAAAACCAATCCAGACAACACTGTTGTTTAAGGCTACTGTGATTTTTCAGATAGTCTTTTATTTTCCAACATGATTCACACAGGCCAAATTGATCACCTTCCATTACCTCTACCTTTGACCTGCCAATTTCACTTGCTTTAGCTTCTCATGTTTATGGAATTTCATTAAAGCAGACAGCCATCCTAGGCTGCAGTACTAACCCACAATCACTTTTGGGGAGGAGCTTCCACTGAATGTGGTACAATTTACATCTTACTAGCAGTGCCTAGCAGGATTACCCTTGTTGTTTATCCTGGATGTCTGTTTAAGTTTTGAAGCATCTACCTATTTCTTTTGTATCAACAGGAGTGCCGCAAAAATGAAATGCTTTTGTCAAAGCTGAAGGCCAGGTGTTCCTGAAGAACTTCAGGCAGAAGTTTGCTGCTATGATCAAGTTCATTATTCCTCACACACTTTTCAGTATCATTCAAAAATATATTCCTATTTGATTTATCTTTGCATAGAAATCTAATTAAGATTTCAGTAACAATACATGCATCATGTTGTAAGCAGAGAATAAATAAGTAACATGTAAAACAAAAGCCCCAAACTTGTTTGGTCAACTTAACCATATTGAAAAATTTTTTACAATGTTGTTTTGTCCTCCTGTGCATAAGGAGAAAAACTAACCCTTTATTTCATTCATACCATACTTATTAGAGGAATGCTTCAGATAACAGAAATGAGTCTTACTGTCTTAAAAGCACTAAGCACCAAAATTGAGTTTTCCTACTTCCTTAAAGAATTGATATAGAAACTCAGATATTTCTGCAAGATGCAGAACCGAATAGCTGGCATCAGAATCTAAATGTGCATCATGCTTTACTTTGGAAATAATCCAAATAAAGTAATGATCAAAAAGGAATTTGAAGTTTAGCCCCTCCAGACAACTGTGGAAGAGAGAATATATTTTACCATATGCAAATGTGTTTACTTCATAAAGTGACAAATTCCTTTTTGAGTCTGAGTCTCAGGCAAGAACAATTTTACTGAGCCTAAATAGTAGCATCCAACTTTCACTCAGTTGCCATGTACAACAAATATATAGTTGCTTCAGGCCCTGAATCTGAAATGCCCAGTAAGCTAGTAGAGGGCACTTCTGGTGTCATATTGGGGAAATGGCGATGTCCAACTGCAAGGGAATCATTCACACAGCTTCACATACACCTATACATACACGTATTCAGTCTGCAATTAAGATTTAATATACCTGTACAGATAGTCCTCAACATACAACCATTCATTCAGTGACCATTCAAAGTTATGACAGCACTGAACGAATGTGGTGGTTACAACCAGTCCTTGGAGTTCTGGTCAGCCCAGCATCTTTGTGGTCATGTGATCAAAATTCAGGCGCTTGGCAACTGGCTCGCACTTACAACTAGTTGCAATGCCCCACGATCATGTGGTTGCCATTTGCAACCTTCCCTGCTGGCTTTCCCAGAAAGTCAGTGGGGAAGCCAGCAAGGAAGGTTGCAAATTGCTGAGGTAAGTCTCCCCCACCCATGCACCCTATACTTGCCCCTCTGCGCTCACACTGTGCCGGCCACTCGTGCACC